AATGTTGATTGAACCTTGTGAATGCTGAAAAGCAGAAAATAAAGCTTTCTGTTCATTCATTCATTCATTCATTCATTTGAACTCATGAGACAACCATTAAGCATCAACCGCTTCTCTTATTATTTGTGTATAAAAATAAGCAAAGAAAATTGTATGTTAATGTGACTTGCACTTTCATTAAATTCAGTTTCATCAGATTTGGAAGCTAATGCTATAAGTACCAAACTAATTGCCTCCGACATTTCTAGCAGAAATCAGTCTTCCGCGAACTTTAAATGGGTTTCATTTTTTAGACTCAATTATCATTCTAAAGATTGCTGTAGTAGGAAGCAATGATGTATAGGACGTTTTTCGGTTTGCAGAACAAATTTTTGCGCGAGATAATTTTTTGTAATATATTTCAAGTAATTACGATGTCACATCTTGGAATTCCCACCGGATTCAAGTTTTATGTCAGCTGTAAAAAAGTTGCTTACACATTTCCTATATCATTAACAAACCGTGATGGAATCCGATTAATCCTTTCTCAAGTCAAATTACTCAGCTTTATTAGTCTAAAAATTTCCAGCTTGTTATAAGCCCTAGAAGAAAAACCTTCCTAGGGTCGCCTAGTATCGTTCAGTGATGTCAAAAATGACCATCAAGGCAGGACTGACACTGTGTTTCCTGGTGTGTGCAATTCTGGGACACGGGGTGTTCTGCGCGCCTGTCGCTGTCGCTGACAACGACGGCGGCGATGGCGGCAATGAGCGGTCAGGCGGGGTAATTGTCCCGGGCGACGCCCCCTGGGACCGGGACGCCTTCGCCCCGGGCATGGGTCGCTGGACGACCCTTGGGAAAGGCATTTTGCAGCTCCAGGTGCCGTGTTTGTCTTTCCCCTTTCTCGGATCCTCGGGTTCTTATGAGGCCCACAAAGAGGAAGAAACGAAAAAAGGAAAAAAAATTGGGAGGTCCCCTTGACTGTTTATTTTTTATTGTTTTAGAATTTTCTTTTTTAATTTGAGATTTATGCGATTATTGGCTTTGTTTCTTGCTGGATGGAATGTTTTCTTTAAAGGTTCAAGGACTATGGGAGGGAATAATTCCTACATCAGAGTCAAAATTTTTTCAATTTGCCGCTAGTAAATTATGCCTTTTTTGAATGATAATTTAAGATTATTGATCGATGAGGCTAGATTGAAATTTCTCTCGGATAGAGTCTGAAAATTAGTTTCGAAAAAAGTTGTAGGTTTCACACCCTTTTTCACAAAGCGAGGTAAAATGATCAGTACTGAATAATGAAATGTTTCAGTCGCTTTCATTTATTTAAACTGATCTGCCGGAAATAGCATATTAATCAATGATGATAGTCCCGTTGAAAATTCCCCACGATGGAGTTTTTCACNGTGTTTTCTGCTCAACATGAGATTTTTATTTTTAAATAAAATGATTGTGTTTCTTGATAAGAAGAAAATATTTTAATTATTCAATTAATTTGAATTTATCCAACCGATACTTGCTAAGGCTAGATTGAAATTTCTCTCGGATAGAGTCTGAAAATTAGTTTCGAAAAAAGTTGTAGGTTTCACACCCTTTTTCACAAAGCGAGGTAAAATGATCAGTACTGAATAATGAAATATTTCAGTCGCTTTCATTTATTTAAACTGATCTGCCGGTAATAGCATATTAATCAATGATGATAGTCCCGTTGAAAATTCCCCACGATGGAGTTTTTCACACGCTGAATCATGAATTTGAAAATTAATTTCTGGATGACCGCCGTGTTTTCTGCTGAACATGAGATTTTTATTTTTGAATAAAATGATTCTGTTTCTTGATGAGAAGAAATATTTTAATTATTCAATTAATTTGAATTTATCCAACCGATACTTGCTAATTATCAACTGATGATACAGCACGAACTATTCGTCAATTGTATAAATTTAATGTGTTGATCCTCGTCACGCAAATCTCCAATATTGCCGAAACGTGCCGTGGAATGAAATTTCATTTCGAAAAAAAGAAGAAAAACACGAAAGAACGGATTTCAAGAAATTACAGTATTACTTTTTCTACAGAAGGCTAGAATTATAATTTTTATACTTTTACAGCCGTTGCCGCTGATTTCATTCTTCCGGGCGATTTATATTTGTCAATTTATTTTTCGGAAAGCGTTGATCCGTTGGATAAATTTTTCGTTGTGAGGTAATTTTTTATTTGGTTTGAGAGCAGATTAAGGATACTTTTTTTGTTTGGATATCGAATTACGGAAAGTGAGGCGTGGAAGAAAAAGGAGGCGTTGTCTGGGGAAATGGAAGAGTTTTTCGTTCCACGTGAAATCGAATTCCGAGCTGCTTGCCGAAAACTTGTTTCTGAGACTTCTCGTAGGATAGGAAAAGGAAAAGAATTGAAAAGCCCTACCGTTTATCCACTTTCCAATTTTCTATTCGTTCATTGCTGGCACCGTTGTCATCGACTTTTCTTCTTATGCAGTATCTGCCGGAGTTTTTTCTCTTGTTTTTGTTTGTTTGTTTTGTAATTGGCTCCTCTGCGAAGGCGAAATGATGAAGTTTCTTTTTGTGTTCTAGAAACATTCCTTTGCATTTTGTATGGAACGGTTTTTTTCCCAAGCGTGGAAACTTCGATATTGTGAGCGATGAAATTGACTAATTTGTTGTAAAGTAAATTTTATATGTGAAAATGATTGATTCTTTACGATCACTGTAGTTTTAGTACAGTAGTTTGCCGTACAATAACCCGCGTTTGACGTGAAGCACAGTATCGCAATTTCGACAACGAGGTGAAGTTTTGAATCTTCAAAATTTGCCCTGTGAAGTTTAAATGGACTAATTTTGTCAATTTTTTATTCTTTGAATATAATTAGCTTGACTTTAAAATCCGCGCAAAGTTGTGTCGTTTTGTCACTTACTTTAGTATGTTGCATATTTTTTTTCGAAAGAAAATTTTGGTTTGAGTCCACATTTCAAAGCATTTATCTTGAAGTTGAAATCAATTGCCTTTCCATGATTTATCTTGTCAAATTTTGGAAGATGCCATTTCAAAAATATGTCTTGACTCTTTCATACCTTCGAGATATTTAGGAAATTTTTGTGAAATTATTTTAATTCCCCCACTTAATAGATATATAAGATATATCCATGATATATCTTGTAAAATTTTTGAAGATGACATTTCAAAAATATATCTTGACTCTTTCATACCTTTGAAAGTGTCAAACAATTTTTGTCAGATTATTCCAATTCCCCCACTTTATCGACGGTTGCGTTTCTGGAATTAAGATTCCCTTTCGCGGTAAATTAGTTTTTAATGACCACATTGTCGCATTTGAAATCAAACTTGTGGGCAATTAACACTAATTTATAACCCCTAGGAACTCGCTCGGCAATTCAAAATACCGAGTGCCATTTTTGACGAAAACGAAATCATGAGACGAAGGCAAATCCACGGCTTTGTCGATGGTCTACCAAGTGAAGCAGACGAAGCTGAAAGTTTCTCTGACGACTTTTCGCAGCCTCATTTTGAATCCGAACGAAATACCGAGGTATCTTCAACCTAACATTATTTTGTTCTAACTCAAAGTAATAAGGAATTTTGAATCTCTCATCTTTCTAAAATGAGGAACCTTTGCACAATGCAGCGGAACTGTCACAAAGTCCAGTGATCCAATCGGTGTCCGTTGAACCAGCGTTTCCGGTAATGATGATATTTCCTGGTTTCATTTAATGAGGACACTAGTTAGTTCAATTAATTACAATGCTGGAGTACATTTTGTTTTCCAGCGAAATGACGTTGTTGAAATGGACACCGCTGAGGAGATTATTCAGACTGATTCTGCACCGGAGGTAATTAAATTCGCATGACGAAGTC